GGAAATGGTCTGGAGAAGAGAGGAGGGGATAGAATCAAGCGGGCAGGTTGTTGGGCAGCCGGCCTTCACAAGTCGCAAGATTTCATCTGGAGAGAGAGGGGAGAAAAAAGTCACAGCATAGGGTAGGGCAGTGTGAGCAGGACCAGCGATGTCATTTGACTTAATATATGAGGATCGGATGTCGTCAATCTTCTTTTCAAAATGGTTGACGAAGTCATCCACAGAGAGGGAGAAGGGAGGAGGATTCAGCAGGGAGGAGAAGGTGGCAAAGAGCTTCCTAGGGTTAGAGGCAGAGGCTTGAAATTTAGAGTGGTAGAAAGTGGCTTTAGCAGCAGAAACAGAGGAATAAAATGCAGAGAGGAGGGAGTGAAAAGATGACAGGTCCGCAGGGAGTCTAGTTTTCCTCCATTTCCGCTCGGCTGCCCAGAGCCCTGTTCTGTGAGCTTGCAATGAGTCGTCAAGCCATGGAGCAGGAGGGGAGGATCGAGCTGGCCGGGAGGATAGGGGACATAGAGAGTCAAAAGATGCAGAAAGGGAAGAGAGGAGGGTTGGGGAGGCAGAATCAGGAGATCGGAGGGAGAAGGATTTAGCAGAGGGAAGAGATGATAGGATGGAAGAGGAGAGAGTAGTGGGAGAGAGAGAGCGAAGGTTGCGACGGCACATTACGATCTGAGTAGTGGCAGAGTGAGTAGTGTTGGAGGAGAGCGAGAGAGAAAAGGATACAAAGTAGTGGTCGGAGACTTGGAGGAGAGTTGCAGTGAGATTAGTAGAAGAACAGCATCTAGTAAAGAGGAGGTCAAGCGTATTGCCTGCCTTGTGAGTAGGGGGGGACGGTGAGAGGGTGAGGTCAAAAGAGGAAAGGAGTGGAAAGAAGGAGGCAGAGAGAAATTAGTCAAAGGCAGACGTAGGAAGGTTAAAGTCACCCAGAACTGTGAGGGGTGAGCCATCCTCAGGAAATGAACTTGTCAAGCTCATTGATGAACTCTCCAAGGGAACATGGAGGGCGATAAATGATAAGGATATTAAGCTTGAATGGGCTAGTGACTGTAACAGCATGGAATTCAAATGAGGAGATAGACAGATGGGTCAGGGGGAAAAGAGAGAATGTACACTTGGGAGAGATGAGGATTCCTGTGCCACCGCCACGCTGACCAGATGCTCTTGGGGTATGCGAGAACACATGATCAGACGAGGAAAGAGCAGTAGGAGTAGCAGTGTTTTCTGTGGTAATCCATGTTTCCGTCAGCGCCAAGAAGTCGAGGGACTGGAGGGTAGCATAGGCTGAGATGAACTCTGCCTTGTTGGCCGCAGAACGGCAGTTCCAGAGGCTGCCGGACCTGAAACTCCACGTGGGTTGTGCGCGCAGGGACCACCAGAATAGAGTGGCAGCAGCCACGCGGTGTGAAGCGTTTGTATGGCCTGTGCAGAGAGGAGAGAACAGGGATAGACAGACACATAGTTGACAGGCTACAGAAAAGGCTACAATAATGCAAAAGAGATCGGAATAAAATTAACTAAACATCTGGGGAGCGAGAGAGCGGGGCCTCCCTCACTTACCTTTCACTGAAACACTCAAATATAACTCTCCAAACTTCCACTTTAGCAATTATAATTGTTGTAAACTACAGTGGTTCAATGTTTTCTAGGAATATACTCTAACTTAGTTTATTCAGCTAGCTAACTTGGGACAGTATTCTTCTGTGAAACCCGCCCAGGGCACCGTATCCTATGACGCCATAGCTAACTAGCATGCTAGCATCCAATAACACACGGTTTAGCACCAATACTTTGTTACAACAAACTACCAATAGTGTGTTAACACACTAAACAGATCATTCGTGTCCGTGTCTAGTTCCTTTCATAACGCAGAAATAATTCAATGTTGGCTAGCTAGCACAAAGTCAAAAAGTAGAAAATATCCTGATAAAAATATATATCCTATGAATCACATTAGCTACACATGGCCTGTCCGCAACGAACTTGAAACATTGTATCAACTATTAACTTGGGTCCGGCCCGAAACTTGCACTTGCAACATTGTAAAAAATATTAGGGGCCCTCAGTTTCCTGTAGCAATGAGCTCGCGATTTTCCCTTTCATGCTGAGTGGTTATCGAAAGGGAGAGAGCTGGAAAGATTTCAAATACATTGGGGAACTATTGTAATTCTCAATGGATGTAAAAACATACTTCGTTTGCTTGCTGTTTGAGGTGAAGAAAACATTACTATGAGAAGCTCCATAGGTCATTAGTGGTGGTCCGTTAAGCCAATCAGAAATACTATCAGATCCCCAAATGGGCACATTTATATGCCTACATTTGCGCGCAGGACATGTAGTCTATACAGTGAGGGAAAAAAGTATTTGATCCCCTGCTGATTTGGTACGTTTGCCCACTGACAAAGAAATGATCAGTCTATAATTTTAATGGTAGGTTTATTTGAACAGTGAGAGACAGAATAACATTTAAAAAAATTATAAATTGATTTGCATTTTAATGAGGGAAATAAGTATTTGACCCCACCTCAATCAGAAAGATTTCTGGCTCCCAGGTGTCTTTTATACAGGTAATGAGCTGAGATTTGGAGCACACTCTTAAAGGGAGTGCTCCTAATCTCAGCTTGTTACCTGTATAAAAGACACCTGTCCACAGAATCAATCAATCAATCAGATTCCAAACTCTCCACCATGGCCAAGTCCAAAGAGCTCTCCAAGGATGTCAGGGACAAGATTGTAGACCTACACAAGGCTGGAATGGGCTACAAGACCATCGCCAAGCAGCTTGGTGAGAAGGTGACAACAGTTGGTGCGATTATTCGCAAATGGAAGAAACACAAAATAATTGTCAATCACACTTGGCCTGGGGCTCCATGCAAGATCTCACCTCGTGGAGTTGCAATGATCATGAGAACGGTGAGGAATCTGCCCAGAACTACATGGGAGGATCTTGTCAATGATCTTAAGGCAGCTGGGACCATAGTCACCAAGAAAACAATTGGTAACACACTACGTCGTGAAGGGCTGAAATCCTGCAGCGCCCGCAAGGTCCACCTGCTCAAGAAAGCACATATACAGGCCCGTCTGAAGTTTGCCAATGAACATCTGAATGATTCAGAGGAGAACTGGGTGAAAGTGTTGTGGTCAGATGAGACCAAAATCGAGCTCTTTGGCATCAACTCAACTCGCCGTGTTTGGAGGAGGAGGAATGCTGCCTATGACCCCAAGAACATCATCCCCACCATCGAACATGGAGGTGGAAACATTATGCTTTGGGGGTGTTTTTCTGCTAAGGGGACAGGACAACTTCACCGCATCAAAGGGACGATGGACGGGGCTATGTACCGTCAAATTTTGTTGAGAACCTCCTTCCCTCAGCCAGGGCATTGAAAATGGGTCGTGGATGGGTATTCCAGCATGACAATGACCCAAAACACACGGCCAAGGCAACAAAGGAGTGGCTCAAGAAGAAGCACATTAAGGTCCTGGAGTGGCCTAGCCAGTCTCCAGACCTTAATCCCATAGAAATTGTGTGGAGGGAGCTGAAGGTTCGAGTTGCCAAACGTCAGCCTCGAAACCGTAATGACTTGGAGAAGATCTGCAAAGAGGAGTGGGACAAAATCCCTCCTGAGATGTGTGCAAACCTAGTGGCAAACTACAAGAAACGTCTGACCTCTGTGATTGCCAACAAGGTTTTTGCCACCAAGTACATGTTTTGCAGAGGGGTCAAATACTTATACTTATTTCCCTCATTAAAATGCAAATCAATTTATAACATTTTTGACATGCGTTTTTCTGCATTTTGTTGTTGTTATTCTGTCTCTCACTGTTCAAATAAACCTACCATTAAAATTATAGACTGATCATTTCTTTGTCAGTGGGCAAACATACAAAATCAGCAGGGGATCAAATACTTTTTTCCCTCACTGTATATATATATGCATATTATTTTACCGTAACCAAAGTAACAAACATTGTAGATTAGAAATTATAGGAATTAACAGTAAATGTAGCCTACTACTGGTGATATAAGTAATGGGGAATTGATATGCACTAACAATCAAACAATTCACACAATGAAGTTGTGAAACAATGAATGTGCACAAATTGGCGGGAGAGAGCGCATTCTGGAGAGAACTTCATCTGGGCGCATGGTCAATCCGATGTCTGCATTGGCGATGCAGCATTTATGGTGATATGGCCTCAGCAGAAGTCAGGGCATTCATACTTCTGGCACTTAAAAGAGCACAGCAGAGCTGTTATCAAGGAAGTGAGTTTGTGTTTATACAGGATGTCAACAAATCATTTCAATGCAGAGCTATACAGAGCCCTTCTCATTGTTCCAACATTTGAGAGGCGCGTGGCGATGCGGTACAGAGCTGGATTTGGCTTTTAGTCCGCAATAGCGTCACACACTCCATATGGAGCCTCCTACCACATTTTCGGATCAAGCACAAATTGGTTTTTAGTCTAGGCCTCCACAAGGGATTAGTTCACTGAGATGGGCGCAAATATATATTATTTATATATATGTGTGTTACTGCTCGACTAAAACAATCTCGGTCGACCAACAGCCTAACGACCAAACAATAGACCAGTCGACTAATTGAGGTCAGCCCTAAGGCCTACATTACCTTTAATCAATGTTAGTAGGAAGAGTAGAGTACTTAAATGTCCTCTCTCCTACACGTTATTATACCCTGTCATGTTGGATGGTCATTTCCAGTATATGTGCCAGTCTGTGTGTGAAAGAAAATGTTGATTTGCTGTTGAAAACACACCCACTCTTGCTCAAGGGTAATTATTACACAACAGTCGGAAATAGTTTTTGTGAGGGCACCTAGGGGCAGTGTACAGTAACTAAACATGCCATTTCATTCAGCAATAGCTTACTTTGTATCACTGCCAAATGATATAGTCTGTACAGAGAAACTGAGTCTATCTGAAGAGACTGATTCCGTTGGCTGTGATTTTAAAGATCTGCATTGTCATTGTTTCTCTTCCAGGGCAGAGAAGGTGGCCATGGGGTTAGCACCTCACTCTCTCCTGGCCCTGACTGGCCAGTTGCCCTGGCCACTGCTCCTGGCTCTGCTCGCTCCATGGAATGTCCTCCGAGCTGAAGAGCTGAAGCCCACTAGATGGCCCCTGTTCTCCCAGAAGCCTTTGCTCCTCGCCTGGAATGCCCCGACGGAGGACTGTGGCCCCCGGCACGATGTGCATTTCCTGCTGGAGCAGTTCCAGATCGTAGCGTCGCCCAACGAGGGCTTCGTCAGACAGAACCTCACCATCTTCTATAAGGACCGGTTAGGGCTGTACCCGTATTACAAGCGTGACCGCACCGCGGTGAACGGTGGGATCCCTCAGGCTGCCAGCCTCACGCAGCACCACGAGAAGATGCCCGAAGGTGTGCACAAATACATACGTGAACCAAACGCCAAAGGCCTCGCCGTCATCGACTGGGAGGAGTGGCGTCCGCTGTGGATTCGCAACTGGGACGTCAAGGACGTGTACCGGGACCAATCCCGGCAACTAGTGGCCAAGAAAAACCCGGACTGGCCCCCGGAGCGCGTGGGAAAAGTGGCTCAGCAGGAGTTTGAGCTGTCGGCCCGGAAGTTCATGCTGGAGACCCTGAGGCTGGCCAAGAGCCTGCGGCCCAACCAGCTGTGGGGGTTCTACCTGTTCCCAGACTGCTACAACCATGACTACCGGAGCGGCCTGGAGAACTACACAGGTCGCTGCCCTGATGTGGAGGTGGCCCGTAATGACCAGCTCACCTGGCTGTGGACTGAGAGCACGGCTCTGTTCCCTTCCGTCTACATGGGCACGGTGCTGCGCTCCACCACATTCGGGCGGCAGTTTGTCCGGAACCGGGTGAAGGAGGGGATGCGGCTGGCTTCGGCGGGCGACGGGCTGGCACGGCCCGTCTTCGTCTACACCCGGCCTACGTATGCCAACGAGCTGACTCCGCTGACTGAGGTGAGGGCCGACGTTGTCTAGGTCTAATTCTAATTCTGTCCCTATAGATATTAGTCTACTCATCACGACCATAACTTGTGCTGTGCAGAGACCTGATATCACTGTTGTTGTTATTCCAGTAAGAAGTCAGCCAGGCACACGGTAGCTTTGAAATTCTCAGCTGACTGTTACTATAGCTGCTTTTCTCAGTTTAGTGAGTGTGTGTGACTGCATGGCTGCGTTTACACAGGCAGCCAAATTCGGATCTTTTTTTCACTAATTGGTCTTTTGACCAATCAGGTCAGCTCTGAAAAAGATTGGATGTGGAAAGATCTGTTGTGATTGGTCAAAAGACCAATTAGTGAAAAAAAAAATCAGAATTGGGCTGTGTAGATGCAGCCAATCACGTTTCAACAAGAGCATCAGTGTGCAGTCTGTCTGAGTGATATCGATAATCACAGACAGGTTCCTTCTGGTCTTGCAACGCAGGTGTTACTCTTGATAGAGCCTAAAAATATAACGATCCATCATCAAAATGCTCTTGTTTTAAATAGGGTTGATGAGAGGAGCCTCCCTGTGAGATGTCACGAGCACATACAGTGTTAAAGGCTTTATACCCTGATGAAGACAGCTTGGCTGTGGAAACGTTGGTTATAAAATGATTGCATCTGAGCTCCTAGAGTGAGGCTCTCCTTTTCTTTTTTTAAAGCCCAGGCTTACATAATATGTCAGGGCTAAATATAGAACACACACATGCGCACACTCATGACCAAGCGTGGCATGTCCAGGAACAGAGTCGCTTGTGTTTCCCCAGAAACCTAAATATGTCTTTCTGCGGCTTCTACACCAAATATCATTACCCATCGCCAACTTTCCAATAACACACACATGCAGTAAGCGGATGCGCATGCACATTGAGCACAAAATACTGTATTTCTTACCCAAACTAGAGTCACAAATGAATTGATAGGCTTCTAGGCTGTTATAGTCATTAGCTGTTATACTGTACATGTAAACAGAACTGAAAAATGACTAGTAGCAGGAATATACACTGAGTGTACAAAATATTAGGAACACCTACCTAATATTGAGTTGCACCCCCTTTGTCCTCAGAACAGCCCCAATTTGTCAGGGTGTGGACTCTACAAGGTGTCAAAAGCGTTCCACAGGGATGCTGGCCCATGTTGACTCCCAATGTTTCCCACAGTTATCAAGTTGGCTGGATGTCCTTTGAGTGGTGGACCATTGTTGATACACACGGGAAACTGTTGAGCGTGAAAAACGCAGAAGCGTTGCAGTTCTTGACACACTCAAACCGGTGCGCCTTGCACCTACTACCATACCTCGTTCAAAGGCACTTAAATATTTTGTCTTGCCCATTCACCCTCTGAATGGCACACATACACAATCCATGTCTCAATTGTCTCAAGGCTTAAAAATCCTTCTTCAACCTGTCTCCTCCCCTTCATCTACACTGATTTTGAATTGGATTTAACAAGTGACATCGTAGCTTTCACCTGGATTCACCTGGTCAGTCTGTCATGGAAAGAATGTTCTTAATGTTTTGTACACTCAGTGTATTTACTGTATACTTATGGTAATATACTAATGGTAATATATACATGTAAACAGGAGTAATAGTGACCAGTAGCAGGATACATAGATACTAATGGTAATGGCAATCAATAATCAATGAACAGCAGCCTAGTGGTAGTAATACATCTAATCAATAATAATAATATTAATAGCAGCAGCGTAGGTGTGAGGGGGAGCAATAGTTGTTAGCCATTTAACAGTCTTATGGCCTGGGGAGTCTGTTGGTCTGAGAACAGTCAATGTCTCAGGTGGCTGGAGTCTTTGGCAATTTTTCGGGCCTTTTGGACCACTGTGTGTGTCAGGTGATGTTATAGAGGTTGGTACTAGTGTGTCTATCTGACTGGATGAATGAGGTGCTGTCAGGCAGCCGGGGCGTCAGTGTTTACTTTCCCACTGGACCACTCTTCACACAGACACACTGGATGGGAGACGGACAGAGAGAGACGGAATGTGTGTGTAGGAATATTCTAAATGAATGAACGAGACATCATGGTTAGTCTATAGGCCTGTAGACACCATGCTTAATTGCTTATTTGGAGTGCGTCTGAACTGACGACTCCATTATATCATTTCCCTATATCTCTCCATATTGAAAGAGTGTGTTGGAGTGAAAGGATGTGTGTGGGAGAGTGACACATCTGGTGTCTGTATGTGTTTAAACCAGGGTGTCTTGAGAATAGATATGATGATGATTCAGAATGTCGTGTCATAATGGGACTGCATCATGGGGTTGCCTCCCAAATGGCACCCTATTCCTTACATAGTGCACTACTATTGACCAGAGCTCTATGGGCCCTGGTCAAAAGTAGTGCACTATGAAGTGAACAGGGTGCCATTTGGGAGGCGGACATGAACCGTAAAGGGCGTGGGTCAGCTCATCTGGTCAGTGTTAAAGAAATGATGAAATGTTCCTGTTCATAGAGGGCGGAGCATGTGTTTGAGATCGATTACATTCAATGTCATAGTAGTCAGCCACTTCAGACTGACTGAACTACAAATCACCTTACGCCATGAATGGCTACTCATTTATGATTTGTAGATCAGTCAGTCTGTGGTCGCTGGCTGCAATGTAGTCGATCTCAAACGTGGCCAGTATGTTCATAATGCAGGACTGAATTTGTGTGTGTGTCTGCAGACAGACCTGGTGTCCACCATTGGGGAGAGTGTAGCCCTGGGAGCAGCTGGGGTCATCGTCTGGGGAGACCATACCTACGCCAGCAGCAATGTGAGTGTCCTCCTTCAAGAGCTATTTGATCATGAATAGATTATCTGTAGCCTAGTTTGAGTCATCAATCTGGTGTTCCCCTCTGTAATATACCTACAGCTGCAGCAATGTGAGTATTCTCCCTGAAAATACCCTATTCCCTACATAGTGACTCAAACTATTTATAATCTATGAATGACCCAATTGGGGTGGTTCCCAAATGACACCCTATACCCTACATAGTGCACTACTTTTGACCACAGCCCTGTAGGGAAATAAGGTGCCATTTGGGACAGACCCCTATTTGATCATTCATAGATTATGCATAATGACTTTGAGTCATCAGTCTGGGGTGTATTCATTAGTCACAGGAACCAAACTGAAGCCAACAGCGAAAACAGAACCAAACTGGGAGGGACCTAACTGTATTTTTCCAATAGAAACATGTTTTTGTTGCAAAACGTTTTCTGTTTGGAGTCAACGATTTCCGTTGCAAAATGTTTTGCAACAGACAAACATTTTGCAACGGAATCTGACTAATGAATACACCCCTGAGGTTCCCCTCTGTAACAACTATTTCCTGTCTGTCTATCCACAATTAAATATTAATGTGTTGGTCCATTCTGAGTCTGCACCTGTGTTTCACTCTCTCCTCCCTCCCTCCCTCAGGCCAGCTGCTCCAGTCTGAATGAGTACCTACGGGGTCCGCTTGGACGGTACCTGCTTAACGTCTCCACGGCAGCAGAACTGTGCAGCCAGAAGCTGTGCACCTCCCATGGCCGCTGCCTCCGCACACTCTCAGACACTGACGCCTACCTGCACCTCAGCCCCCTCACCCACAGCATCAGCATCCAGGGGGGCAGGCTGAAGGTGACCGGTCAGCTAGGTCAGGGGGAGCTGGCTAAGTACAGGCAACACTTCCAGTGCCAGTGCTACAGCGGGTACAAGGGCGTGGGCTGTGCCCAGAGAGAGCTGGGGAAGAGTGCTGCCACACCTGTCTGGAGAGTCTGGTCTGTACTGACCCTGTTGCTCCCTCTAGGGCTTCTCACTCTGCTCCACTGAGGGAGGCGAGCAGGAGCTGACGACGTGCAATATGGGGGAAGAACCACGCCCTGGTCCTGGCCTCTACTGGGGCTCAGAGGGATTCCTGGTCAGGGATGGGCTCTAGCTGGTCTGTGGGACTGATCCATATGGAGAAGAGGATATGGGGGTGCCATCTGTCAACAGGATGAAGGAGGGGACTGAAGATACTCCTCAGTACCCTTCAGTTACCCACGCAAGCTAAAGGGACAGCATTTGAAGTGGGAAAACAATAGGCCTTCTATTTTGACTTGATGTTTTTATTGTGAGTGCTGTGTGGTGAGGTAGAAATGAAGGTCTATACTGAACTGATCTAGCCCTCCCTTCACCAGAGCTGGAAGACATCTGGAGCTAGCAGCCAGAACTACAACTAAGATGTCTGTAATGTGTATGAATGCTGACCTCAGCTGTATATTGAGTGTGTGTGTCTGTGTGAACTGTGTTATCAGTTAGAAGTCTAGTAAGGCTACTAGTGAGACTGGAGTTTGTTTGAATGTTCCTCTCTTTCGCCTAATGTGGAACCGAGGGGAATTGTTAAACCTCAACAACAGAACCTAACGCACCACACTACAACAATGCTACTTTTCTATGAAGAGACTGTGCCACCGTGAAGCTTTTGTCCAAAGAGACCTGCGCTGTGCTTGGATAGTCCAACCTCTTTCGGCTAGATGGCTATACCTTCACTATACCTTCGTAATCTTAAAAAAAAAAAAAAAAACATTTCTTTTTGTAACAGTCTCTTTTTCTACGGTCTTATTTTTTCAACCTGTAATGTTGTGGTGGAAAATAACTGGAATATTTGGAACTGACTCTCGAATATTCATTCAAATATTCATGTGCTTCAGTGAGGCTTAGCATTGTGGCAAGGAACTCATTTAATCTACATAGCTGCCTTTCTGTGTCACTCACGGACTGCTTTTGCAACATTTCATCACCTCAATCACATTAGCAAGAAAGACTCGTCTAAGAATTTTCTATAAATATTTTTAGCCCACAACAACATGTTTGTGAACACACCACATCTGCACAGATGACAGTATGTCAGTGTGAGGCCTAACATGTCTGTGATCATCCTTATTCTGTTGCCTCTAGCATCTACTTTGTAGATGTTATTTGAGTGTCTGTGAGGATTGCAAAGCAAAACTGAAAGCTTTTGCTCATTTTGTCATTTGTTTCTACTCTATTCTTCCTTCTGTTCCCTGAAACCAAAATTCCTTAGAAAATGGCTCTGGCCTCGTCCGTGGTTGTGTTTAGAAGGAATACAGCTTATGTCAATTTTACTTTTTGTAGCAGGTTTAAGAGAACTTACACAGCAGGTTAGGATAATTAGGTGGGTTAGGGTTATCTGAAATGCACAAAATTTACTTTTGACATCAATTTCACAAGCTGTATCCCATCTAGACATGACCTGCATGCTTTTTCAGGGGACCACAGTCAGACCTCCAGGGGCCTCTGTGTGGGTCCTAGTGTCATTTTCACTGCTCTTATTTATGTCCCAAACAAGCTTCTCATTTACTTTGTTACATGTGCATTGGATGTCATTGTAATTAGTAGTTATTTTTATTACATTACTTGAAATATAAAAAGGCTCTCAATGAATTTGAATCTTGGATTTATGCTGTTCTGTCGTTATTTACATCACACGGTGGGTCAGAGTTCACAATCACTTGCCACGTGTTGCATGGTGAGCTGTTGCAAATGTTTGAAAAGCATTTCCCCCCCCCCATTAATGATCAGTATAGAGAAGCTAAATTGAGTTTTTGTAGGATTTTACCATGTCATCATAAAAACAACTACAACATTGTGTCTAATGTTATCACGTGAGGGCCTTTGCAACTTGGTAGCTGTTCCTTGCTCTCCTGAGTCACCTACCCCTCTGTGCCTTTTGGCTTTTTTTCTCCCTCCAATTTTTTCCAAAAGCAATATTATTGGGCTGAGAGTACAGAGAAAGCCTTGTTTTATAACTAAAACCAGACTGAGCCTCTGTTTCTTTAGGGACCCCCCCCAATCTTCCAGTTCCGACCCCCCCCCCCCCCCCCCCCCCCCCAGGAGGAAGGGCACTGCTGTTCACTCATTCAACAGCATCCTAATGTTTTGGCATGTGTAATACCATTGTGTGTACAATTGGAATATTAAAGGGAATGTGTGGACAAGATGTGAATTCCATGAATCAATAGATTATACACTGAACAAAAATATAAACGCAACGTGTTGGTCCTATGTTTCATGAGCTCTAAATAAAAAATCCCCGAAATGTTCCATACGCACAAAAAGCTTGTTTGTCACAAATGTGTTTACATCCCTGTTAGTGAGCGTTTCTTCTTTGCCAAGATAATCCATCCAGCTGACAGGTGTGGCATATCAAGAAGCTGATTAGACAGCATGATCATTACACAGGTGCACCTTGTGCTGGGGACAATAAAAGGCCACTTTAAAATGTGTAGTTTTGTCACACAACACAATGCCACAGATGTTAAGTGGGTGGGCCTATGCCCTCCCAGACCCACCCATGGGAAATCCATAGATTAGGGCCTAATTTATTTATTTCAATTGATTGATTTCCTTTTATGAACAGTAACTCAGTAAAATCTTTGAAATTGTTGCATTTATATTTTTGTTCAGTATATGAACACTTGCAAGACTGCTATTACTGTTTTTTAAATCAAACAAAAAACAAACATATGTCATTGTGGCAACATATTGTAATTAAAGCCATATAAAATCTTATGGCATTTCACAGGATCTTAATTCCCAGAATATCAAATGTGTTTATTCATAGGAAAATATGAATTCTTACTTTTTGTGGCCGTTTTCAGTGCCCTTCTTGTACCAGTTTTTTAAGAGGGGAAAAACAAAGATATTGTGACATGCCAGATGTGTGGATGGTGAGGGATGAACACAATACCATCCTAGTCTAATCTTTCCTTAATATACACATCTGGGCCACAACGATGCTCTGTAATCTCTACCATGTGGACACTTTGGAACAAAAAGGATAGTGATTTCTCTTTATTACACCATCTTTTTGTGTGTGTTATCGACATGTGTTTCATTGTTCACTTCCAAAGTAATACAAAAGAGTAAGTACTGCAAAGTATGCATGCAAGCTTCCTAACTGCTACAATAACAATACCAGTATGTTGAAGGATATTTGGAGATATACCCCCCCCTTCATAAGACCTATACATATTATTTTTTAATTATTCAGTGGGCATTTGATACAGGAAACAAGATAACAAAATAAATATTTTCATTTTATAATTTTCATTGTGAAAATGCATGACAATACAAGATACAGCAAGCCATAACTCACTAGAGCTGGCCGATATGGACTAAAATCCATATCACGATAAATTGCCTGAATTGACACAATAACGATAAATCGCACGAGAAGTTTCTAACATTAATGTGCACCACATTTTCTTGAAGGATCATCTAGTACTACTACTACCAGTTTGATGGTTGTAGCCATCAATTGTCCCATTAACAATCACCCATATTAGCACACGTATTTAATTTCAAACGTCACATTTCTCTAGTATAGGCTACTGATCGTAATGAACGATATCAGCAAAATGCCTGCGATAAGCGATCGGTATGGTCAATGTCGATCATTTTCAGTTTATCGTCCCAGCTCTACAGCTCACTATATACAAATACACACCAACAAGTTCTACAAAATGAAATTATGTTTCACTTCTAAATCTGTCAGGTTATCAACCCAAAAGTGGGTTATTTAACAGTTCCATACCGGAATGAATCCATCATTTTATTCCTTTGTCCACACCAGTTTAGTAGACGGTGCCTCTTTAGATAGTAAAGTCCTCTGAAAGTCTTTTTACAAACGTAGCAGGTATGATGTTGCTGCTTGGAATGGCTCTGGATAAGCTTTAGTAGGGCAGATGCTTCAGACCGGCGGAGTTTCCACTTGGAGCGCTCAGAACCTCTGCTCTCCTGCTTGGGCGTTTTGTGGCGGTGAGTGTTCAGATATTCCAACCACTTGTATCTGTGATTTCGCTCATGCTTCTTGAGGTTGTCTGCCCGGTGGAATACTTTGTAACACATTGAGCATGAGAAGGGCCTTTCAGTAGAATGTGTGTGCTGGTGGCGCTTCAGATGATCCGCCCGGCCGAAACTTAGACCACATTCCTCACATTGGAACACCTTGCCAGCCTTAGTGTGAGTGTGATACCTATGTCTCCTGAGAGAGTTACGGTCCTTGAACGTTGTCCCACAAGCTTTACAAAGAAAATGTCTTGATACGATGTGCATTTTACCGAGGTGGGTGTTCAGGTCCTCCTTCCGCCCGAATGTATCCCCACAACAATGACAAAGGTGAGGTTTCTCGTTGGTGTGCAGGCTCTCGTGCCGTCTCAGGTGCTCTCGCCTCTTGAACTTCATACCGCAATTTGAACAAACATGGGGAGTTTTATCCGAATGGATCATTCTGTGTTTTCCCAGATTTTTCACTGTACTAAAGGACTTGCCGCACTGGTGGCATGTATAACCGCCTGGTCCTGGATGAGCAACTTCATGATGCAACATCAGTTCCTCTTCCTGTTCAAACCGCTTCTCACACAGCTGGCAAGCCTGGTTTCTCACCTGATGAGTCTTTTCATGTGTACGCAACTCTCCTGGATCCCTGAATTTAACGCCACAATCAGAACAGACAAAGGAACTTCCAGAATGAGAATAGCTGTGGCGCTTCAGGTGATCCTTTCGGCCAAAGTGTTGGCCACATTCCTCGCAGTGGTACAGCTTGGAGGCTTTCCTACGGTCTTTGCGATCCTTTAAACATTTCGCACAAAAAGTAAATGAAACACGATATATAAAATATTCCCCACAATCCTTGCAAATGAATTGTCTCAATCCATCTTCCTCCGTCTCTCCTACACTGTTTAAGTCTATTTCAGGTTCCTCCTGACTTGTTGACTGATTGTCAACCCTTCGTGTCTGCAAGCCTTTCAAGGTGTCTTTAATGATATTGCCAACCGCTTTTAGGATTTTGCGGTATTGGTCCGGGTGTATGTCCCTGGCATGATTCTCAAACTCCAGTCCACTGGTGAGCTGTAGGACACAGAGTTGACAATAGAAAACATCCCCCTCTTGGCTCACCCTACCTGCCTCTATGAAAGTCTTTACATGCTTACGCAGGTGGAAGCACTTATGCTTTTGGAAATTATCTGCCTTTTCAAAATGGCGGTCACATTCACAGCACGTTAAAGCGTTTGTGTTTTTATGAGAGTTATTTTTCGGATGATAAATGTTCTGGTGCTTGGTGCGAGTTGTTTGCTTGTTGAATGCTCTACCACAAACCGGACATCTAATCTTTTCTTTGACTTCTGGTCCGTGCTTCTGTTTAGGAGGCACTCCTTCACTTTTGCCCTGTGCCCAAGCATGTCTTTTCTGGTGTTTTTGGTAAGATTTGAAAAACTTAAAAACCTTCCCACAGTCCAGACAAGGAAATGGAGGAGAACGTTTAGTGTCAGGTGTTTGCTGCTCTGCAGAAGATATTAAAATACATGCATCCTGATCATTCTGATCCTTAGTATCTTCGCTGTTCTTCCTGTTTTTCTTGTTGGCCCTTACATGAGTTTCTGTTGCATCTTTCCTATTGCCTTCAAGACGTATAATAATCTTGGAAGTTGAACGTTTCCTCTGTTTTTTTCTGCTTTTTTTGGTTATCGTGATCCTGTGAGTCTTCTCGTGCTTCATGAAAGAAGTTACGTATTTGAACTCCTTACCACAGTGCTTGCAGGTGTGAAGGCCTTTCATTTTCTTATTGACACTTAGGCCTGCTGCTTTGATTGACTTTCCATTTCTTCTTGCTTTCGGTCTTGGTACAACGTGAGTGTCCAGGTGCTTTGTAAATGAAGTTAGGTATTTAAACTCCTTCCCACAAGTCTTGCAGGTGTACAGGGCTTTGATATGAGTTTCCTCATGTTTTCGGAATGAAGTTAGATATTTGAACACCTTCCCACAAGTCATGCAGGTGTGCAGTGGGGAGACACCTTCTGTTTCCATTGACTTCGGTCTTCCTCTCTCACTTGCTACATCACATATTGAATGAGATCTTATCAAGTGCTGCTCCAGCTCTGGTTCGCTAGTGAAGGAGGCTTCGCAGGCATCACAGGGAAAGAACTGGAGTTCCACATTTGCAAAACCTTTACAAAAGACAAAGGCAACAATGAGATATTAGCTGATGTAAGAAGGGCTATATAAAATAAAATTGATTGATTGAAAATTGATTGAACAAGGACAACGTTTAAATGCTTTTGACTTTGCATGTATTTCTATAACAGTTAATAACCCAGTTAATCGCAAGTTAGCCTAACCCACAACCCAATACCCTTGTTGTCTTCTCTTACCATGCCCATCATCATCCTCATGAAAGTCAGCATCCATCTCCATGTCCTGGCTGCCATGGATACTTTCAGGTAGGTTGCTGTCCTTTACCTCGAGAACAAGCAAGTCTGGAGAGACGTCTGAGATCTCCAAGGTCATGATCTCGCCATTGGCATATCCAGATAGTGAGCTAGGAGGGTCCTCCCTCTCCAAATCAATGGACTCCATGGTATTGTCTTATCCTGAGCGCACACACACACAAAATAATTATACAAACAACTATCTCTCTAAAGATGTTAGATAAAGCATAATGCAAGTGTTCGGGGGATCTCAAATTGCCTGGCTATCCGGACTCCTTGCTCCAGCCAAACGCTACGCCACGCCCCCGCCTCGATAACACCTGCAGCGTCATTGCACAAAATGATACGCAGAATCATCTGGATATGTGTGCAACAAAAGTTAAACATTCATAATCTACTACTGTTCTGTAAAGCCGTCTACGCATACAATTTCAAGCATACTTTTGATCAATCCAACGTATGCACCATAAAGCAACTGCCTCTGCAATGCAACGTTCCATTGGAAATGAATGTACTTCTGGCGTATCAAAACGCAATGAAGCTGAACGCACAGCATCATACCAACAGCGTTATTTTGTTTTGATACGTTGGTGCATATGTTGTATTTATTGCGTAAACGGCTTGACAGAAATGGTAGCAGAAGGTGAATGTTGAACTTTTGTTGACACACATTCAGATGATGCTGCATACCATTTTGCACAATGACAGTGTGACGCTGCGATGCGATCACACCGACAGTGTTTTGTGCAAAATGGTACGCAGCATCATCTGGATATGTGTGCAAGAAGTTCCAACATTCACCTTCTACTACCATTTCTGTCAAGCCGTCTAGGCATACAATTTGATGCATATGTTCGATAAATCCAACGAATGCACCACACAGAACGCACTGCAATTGCCTATGCAACGCAATGCTGCAAGGCAAACGCAGCGTTCCATTGGAAATGAATGTACTTGTGATATACCAAAACGCAAAAGCACTGTCGGTGTGATCGAGGCGTGGTGTAGCTAGCTAGCGAACGACAGAGCAGCAGAATAATTGAGTGTGTGTTGTCAGGCTAGATCTCAAATGCTATCATGGCCAAACAAACTCAATTGTTTGGTTTGACTTAACTTAAATGTTATTTTGATTGTTAGCTAACTAGCTGTGGCTAAAGTTAGCGGATGTTCGCGTTAAAAAAACGAACCATTGATTCAGTTTTCACCCCAACTAGACTACTTTCAGGGTGAGTAACCATCTACTAAAATACCAAACTTCGGCAGAGAGCCAGAGCGCACGATCGCTAATAAATTCATTAATTGACCTGATACAAACCTAAAACAACATCGAGTCACTCTGTTCTCTTTCTGCAGTGGCTACCCCGCCATGTTGTTGTGCAGCCCACAAATGTGTTCGAATAGAAACAGTGTAATTGCTAGATTTGATCGATATAAAATAACGTTATCATTACTACATCTTGTAGATGTCATTATTAATAATTAGCTAATTATTTGATAACTGTTACTCAGTTACATTAATTTGGTATAGTTTTTTTTTTTACAAGTGCGTTAATTGACTTGGAACGAAAACAACGCAGAATAATAGTTCCTTTTCGGAATTATTTATGTGAAACACACTTTATACATTTGCTTCTGCAAACAGCAGGGTCAGTGCCATTTAAAACGTAAACTTCAATGGGCTAGGGACGTCCCATTGATTTAGTCAAACTAAATGCATGCTCTTCAATCGAACGCTGCAAAATAATCACTACTCTCGGCGGGTCTGACTTAGAATATGTGGACAACTACAAATACCTAGGTGTCTGGTTAGACCGTAAACTCTCCTTCCAGACTCACATTAAGCATCTCCAATCCAAAGTTAAATCTAGAATCGGCTTCCTATTTCGCAACAAAGCCTCCTTCACTCATGCTGCCAAACATCCCCTCGTAAAACTGACTATCCTACCGATCCTTGACTTCGGCGATGTCATTTACAAAATAGCCTCCAACACTCTACTCAGCAAATTGGATGTAGTCTATCACAGTGCCATCCGTTTTGTCACCAAAGCCCCATATACTACCCACCATTGTGACCTGTACGCACTTGTTGGCTGGCCCTCACTACACATTCGTCGCCAAACCCACTGGCTCCAGGTCATCTATAAATCTCTGCTAGGCAAATCCCCGCCTTATTTTAGCTCATTGGTCACCATAGCAACACCCACCTGTTGTCTGCGCTCCAGCAGGTATATCTCACTGGTCATCCCCAAAGCCAACACCTCCTTTGGCCGCCATTCCTTCCAGTTCTCTGCTGCCAATGACTGGAACGAACTGCAAAAATCTCTGAAGCTGGAGACTCTTATCTCCCTCACTAACTTTAAGCATCAGTTGTCAGCGCAGCTTACACTGCACCTGTACACAGCCCATCTGTAATTAGCCCACCCAACCACCTCATCCCCATATTGTTATTTATTTTGCTCATTTGCACCCCAGTATCTCTATTTGCACATCATCTTTTGCACATCTATCACTCCAGTGTTAATACTGTTAAGTTGCGTCAATTCAAATCTGGTATAGGAACAAAAAGAGGTCAATACACGTCTTCTAAAATAGACTAGTAATTTAATTAATGCAAACACTTGAATGGTAAATATGATGTTCGTATATACGGGCCCACTGAAAAACCACGCAGGGCAGTCAGAGAACTGAGCTTTTGTTATAAGTTCTTCTTTAAATACTCTGACAGAGATAGTTCCCGCTCCCTGCTGGGCCTGTCAGAGTAGAGACTGGGTGTGGTTTAAACTTACCCAACCTATCGATGGCGCACAGGCTGGTCCCAGCCCCTTGGCGCTTCACTGTTGCCGGGCATTAGTTGTTATCTTTACAACTTGTCTCGAGTCAGCAACCTCAGACATAGTTTGTTCTTCTTTGTAGCAGAACACATGTCCTTGAGCGGTTTAACAAAGAGGCAGTGTGTGTGTGAATCACAAGTCTGTCTCAGCCTACCCTCTAACGGTTCCTCACATTAATCACAGCTTGTTATGTTAAACAATCTATATAAGTACAGCACAAACCTATTATGTTTTAATCATTCATGTATTCTTTCTAAGCTAGGCATCACATCTAGTTATAAGAAAATAGATCCCAACAATACTAAATTGTAATTATTTTGCACTATGGCCTATTTATTGCCTTACCTCCATAACTTACTACATTCGCACACACTGTGTATAGATTTTCTATTGTGTTTTTGACTGTACGTTTTGTTTATCCCATATGTAACTCTGTGTTGTTGTTGTTTTTATCGCACTGCTTTGCTTTATCTTGGCCAGGTCGCAGTTGTAAATGAGAACTTGTTCTCAACTGGCTTACCTGGTTAAATAAAGGGGAAAAAAAGGATCCCAAATAGCGCAGACCCAAACAGCAGAGGACTTCATCAGAGATCTGTATATCCCACGGGGGGGCAGTATGAAAATAAAAAAGAATAATGTATGCACTAACTGTAAGTCGCTCTGGATAAGAGCGTCTGCTAAATGACGTAAATGTAAATGTAAATGATTACGAGATGCTCATGTCTCCACCCTAACAATGGGAGTCGTTGTCCCAAAGGCGGGAAGCAGGGGACAAGTTTAGGGAAACACATTTGGCTTATTTTGATCCGATTTTGCCGACATTGAAACCTCTGGCTTCGCCTCTTCCTCTCTGACTTCAGTACGCAACCATTCGCAACTGTCATGGGCTAATAACAACTGCGATTACCCAACTATTCATGAGGTACAGTATATTTTCATATACTTGTATGTTAGTTATGACATTTGTGTCACCGGACAAATAACATTTGTCGTGATAATCTGATTAAGGTTTATAGTATGCCCACTAGCTAGCTAACGTTAGGTAGTAGCTAGATAATACATGTCCATAACAGAAATGTAACATTTCCTTTGCTATTGGCTAATTGTTCTCTGAGGTTGCTGATGGACAAATCTGAAGAAATTAATAAAATCGGCTAATGGCAAAGAGTTTGTCTACAATGTGAGTTTTTGATATTGTACTATATTTAGTTTAATTTGGACGCATGGGGTTACTGTTTTTTTATTATTTTATTTTATTACACATTTCATGAATCAAATGATCAGAATGTAATACTTGTTTGGTATATACTATATATACAGTACCAGTCAACATTTTTGACACACCTACTCATTCCAGGGTTTTTCTTTATTTTTACTATTTTCTACATTGTAGAATAATAGTGAAGACATGAAAACTATGAAAGAACACATATGGAATCATGTATTAACCAAAGAAGTGTTAAACAAATCAAAATATATTTTATATTTGAGATTCTTCAAAGTAGCCACCCTTTGCCTTGATGACAGCTTTGCACACTCTTGGCATTCTCTCAACCAGCTTCATGAGGAATGCTTTTCCAACAGTCTTGGAGGAGTTATCACATATGCTGAGCACTTGTTGGCTGCTTTTCCTTCACTCTGCAATTGGGTTGAGGTGGGGTGATTGTGGAGGCCAGCTCATCTGATGCTGCACTCCATCACTCTCCTTCTTGGTCAAATAGCCCTTACACAGCCTGGAGGTGTGTTGGGTCATTGTCCTGTTGAAAAACAAAAGATAGTCCCACTAAGCGCAAACCAGATGGGATGGTGTATCGCTGCAGAATGCTGTGGTAGCCATGCTGGCTAAGTGTGCCTTGAATTCTAAATAAATCACAGACAGTGTCACCAGCAAAGCACCCCCACACCATCACACCTCCTCCTCCATGCTTCACTGTGGGAACCACACATGTGGAGATCATCCGTTCACCTACTCTGCGTCTCACAAAGACATGGCAGTTGGAACCAAAAATCTCAAATTTGGACTCATCAGACCAAAGGACAGATTTCCACCGGTCTAATGTCCATTGCTCATGTTTCTTGGCCCAAGCAAGTCTCTTCTTCTTATTGGTGTCCTTTAGTAGTGGTTTCTTTGCAGCAATTCGACCTTGAAGGCCTGATTCACGCAGTCTCCTCTGAACAGTTGATGTTGAGATGTGTCTGTTACTTGAACTCTGTGAAACATTTATTTGGGCTACAATTTCTGAGGCTGGTAAATCTAATGAACGTATCCTCTGCAGGAGAGGTAACTCTGGGTCTTCCTTTCCTGTGGCGGTCTTCATGAGAGCCAGTTTCATCATAGCGCTTGATGGTTTTTGCGACTGCACTTGAAGAAACTTTAAAAGTTCCTGACATTTTCCGGATGAACTGATCTTCAAGTCTTAAAGTAATAACTGTCGTTTCTCTTTGCTTATTTGAGCTGTTCTTGCCATAATATGGACTTGGTCTTTTACCAAATATGGCTATCTTCTGTATACCACTCCTACCTTGTCACAATACAACTGATTGGCTCAAACGCATTAAGAAGGAAATAAATTCCACAAATTAACTTTTAAGAAGGCACACCTGTTAATTGAAATGCAATGAGTAGGTGTGTCCAAACTTTTGACTGGTACTGTATATACAATATCTGAAGTAATCCACACAGTCTCTCACACACACTGAAAGAAAGCTCTACGTATTTTACTGGGTTGTGACCCACTGACACCCCCCACGGTTAGAGGGGAATAAAGCAGCCCAAGAGTTAACACACACAGGAACTTTATTTAAACACACTGAGGAAGATGAACATGGGGATGGTTCTGTAATGAACGAGCGGGCCCTGATCGACCATTTCCGGTGCCATCTGCGGGAGGGCGTCCAACGGGAGCTAGCCTGCCGAGACACCATGTTGTCCTTCAAAAACTGGTGGACATGGCCATTCGTTTGGACAACCTGCTGGCAGCCAGAGGAAGTCCTGGTAGGGATCTACCCGTTTCCACCCCGGACGAATCGGATCCCGAGCCGATGGAGCTGGGTGGAGCCGCCGGCCGAGAGAGCGGAGGAGGACAGCGACAGTGCCACTCTGGTGGCACGAATAAACCACACGTCATAGTCAACGTTCTTTTGGGCCGGGAGGCGGCAGGCAGGGCACTCACGCATCACCCCAGGTATCGAACACCCACACTTGTTCAGAGCCCTCTGCTGCACACTGTACCCTACCTATCCACTTTCTCGATCTCATGGTAGTTCCCCAGTGTAAGGCGCTAGTCGATTCAGGCGCAGCTGGGAACTTTATGGACAGGGCATTCGCACGCCATCAAGGCATAACATTGGTTCCCCTATCCATTCCACTCCCCATTAGAGCACTCGTTAGTCGACCAATAGGGTCCGGGTTTCTTACAGAAGTCACAACCATGATCACCAAGGAGACTCATTTTGAGCATGTTATTTTTTCGATTATTGAATCTCCTGCTTTCCCTGTGGTATTAGGTATCCCTTGGCTAGCACTCCACAACCCCACCTTCTCATGGGCGCAGAGGGCTCTCACGGG